GTTGTTTTAAGGAAAGTATTAAGACTTTATTAACAAGGAAGTATAAAAACTTCTTGCAAACATCTTTTTTGTGTGTGGTCAGAGGATTAGCGAAAAGAGTTTTTGTTATAAAAATAAGATATCAATATATCTAATATTTCAACTTATTTATATGTAATTATTTTTAAAAGCTTGAGTTCATTTACTATATTTTTATTGTAAATTTTAATATTTGTTTATTTTTAAATTTTTTAATTATACAATCGAAAATTATCAAAATTATATATATTTTAAAAAAAATTTTTATAAAAAAATTTTAAAGTTTTATTATTGTTAAATATTTATTAATTATCTTATAATTTATGATAATAATCAATTAAAATTATTAAAAAATAAAAATTTGATAAAAAAATTTTTTTTAATAATTTTATAATTGTTGATTGAATAATTAAGGTTTTAATAATTGCTAAAGTTAAAATTTATAATAATATAGTAAACAGATTCAAACTTTTGAAAGAAACCATATATAATAATAATATATTAATTGAAAAATATTTATTCATAAGAATCTTATTCTATATTTAAATAAAATAAATTGATCAAAAACATTGTAAATAAAAATTATGTATTTATATATAATTGAAACTTTCTAAATTAATATTAGTGTTATTCATAAATCCAAAAAGATTACTAAATGTGTAAAAAAAAAATTGAACTTGAAAAGGATTTATCAATGTTTTTATTAATAAATTTAATCAAATTCAACAATAATTTGACTATTAAATAACATAATTTTGACTAGGGTAATAGAACCAAGAATAAATAAAATAGGTTGCAATAAGTGATGAGAGTTAATATAGTAAATAAAAGCAAGTGCAAAAACTTTAACTGTATAAATAAATGAAAACATACCTTTGATTGAGAAATAAATAAAAAGCTGCTTTATATTTTTGAATACAGGTATGACAAAATATAAAAAGTGAAAATATTTTAAAGTGAAAAAGTGTATTAAACCTAAAAGAAAAATACTTAATTTAACTCCAATCTCTACAGGCCCGTGGTTCACAGTGTTTTTATACTGTATATAGGGTCGTTCATTGATATAACAGACCTGATAAAGATAAACTCGTCAAATCCATTGTGCTTCAGCCTTACTTTGTGTATTTACTGTAAATATTCGAAACCTACTGTTGTGATATATGTTTTTTTTTTTAATATACAATAGAGCATATTATTCTTCTTTCGGAAAAACCGAACCCCCAAAATTTTATACCATTCCGATTTAAAACTAAATTTTTTTATTTCCTATACAATTATAACGTAAATAATAATACATATTGGACTTGTTGATTGACTAAGGACTTCTTTTAGGAAAGCTAACGTTGGTACATGTGTATTGATATGAAAATTGTTTTTCTGGTGTTGCTGTATGATCGTGGTAAAATTCTTTTCAGGAAATGGCGAGTATTTTTACAATTTGAAATTTAAGATATATAAAATGTCTGCATGTGTAAAAGAAAGAATCACAAAAAAGGAGGATTCTGAATATTGAAAATTGATCATTCTATATCAATCTCTGCTAATTCATTGAGATCTATGCCAACATCATTCATATTAAATCTTATTTCCGGTTCTCTGTCCTCCTTGCCCAGTAAGACTGATTCCGCGATTTCTATGTACGCTTCAAGATATGAATGCCATTTACTAAATCTGACTATATCTTCTTTTAAATTGTTCACTCTTCTTTGCAGGTTTTCCTGATCTGGTTGCCAATTGAATCGGTCATCAGCAAGGAACTCGATTATATATGCTTCTATATCGTCACGTTTTGCTGTTTCGAATTTTTTTATGTAATTTGAAACCGTTCTGAAATTATATTCTTCATTAGCGTTTTCGGGTTTGCTCAAGTATATGATGCGCTTGACCATCGGTGATTCTAGTATTCGAGAATCGAGTAAAGATTTCCACTCGTAACTTTCCTCTGAGTTAGACATAGCTTCAAAGACATCTTCGTTCGCAAGAAGAAATTGAATGACCACCTTTGGCGATAGGTACCATTTTGACGAAGGACGGGCATCGGGATGATAAGGATATTCATATCCGAGCATCAGGGATGCGACGCGACCAAGTAGTTCCCGTTGTAGAGCTGGAGCGGTTTGTTGATGACTGTATTCGTATTGCACTTTGGCAAGTTGCTGAGTAGCATCGATGACACTGCTTGTTATTCCCATCGTCAAACGACGCTTGTAAATGTAATTCACTGAAGCTTTTTCTTTTTCTGAAAATCTAGTCTTACTCTCGGGTTCCTCGAACGTGTCTGGATTTCTTCCCATGTCCGCAAGATCAATAAATAATTTTACCTTGTCTTCTGGTTCCGGTGGTTTACTCTTTATAATGGCTCTGACCTGTTCAGTTATTGTTTCTGAGAGTTTTGAAAAGATCGCAGTATCCTTCTGGTTATCATTTTTCTTATTGAACTTTTTAAGGTTCTCCGTCAATAAGGTAAGAAATGATTTAGTGATATCAGCCGGTATCCCACTTTCAATCAATCCCAAATTTGAAAGAGCATCTATGCCATCCTTGACATCCAGCTCCCTAACCAGAAATGCTCTCGCATACTCCGAATTCGGATTATTTGCCGCCCACTGATACAAATATCCTTCGTCCTGATGCACGCAGATGCCACTCAACTGATAAAAGTGAACAAGCGACGTGGCATGTGTCATCACCAGTAGATCAGTGCGCTGATCCAATGTCTTCTTGAAATGATTGTATGGGTCCTCAAAAAACATGGCATAGAGTGCCCATGACAGGTCTTCGATGGGTGATACTTTGCTCATGGAAAAAGGTTTTTTATTATTCGTTTTCCCCATAGACGTCATTATTTTTGCAATCTGACTTTCCGTATTTTGCTGTTCCTTCGAATCTTTACTCCTATGTCTCCAATATCGTTCGAATTTAGAAATCAGGATCCCTTGCATAGGATCGTCACTCTGCGCTTGTAGCAAGGAAGAAAAAACCGTGTCGCGCATGATACGGATGGTATATTCTGCATGCAGCAATAGACACATGGCTCCAAAGACAGACACCCATTGATTACCTCCGTGCACTTCGACAGTACTTCCCGCGTTTTCTCTTTCATGCGCATGGAAAATCCGACCATAATCTTCGCTGATCTTCTGATCGACGGCCTGACCAAAATTTAATTGGGTCGATGTTCGCGCTTGTACTTGACGTGAAACGAATTCATCAACGTTAAGCTCATTTAGATTTATCAGAGTTGACCGCATGGTATATTCCTGTGTTAGACGTTGTATCAACATCTGTGCTGTATTAAAGCGAATTTCAGCAGGATTTATGTATCGTTCAATTTCCGCCATGTATTCATCAAACTCGGAGTTTTGAAATCCTTTAGGTGGAAACTCGGCATATCCGTCAGTGCCTTTAAGAGTTTCGAAAATATCCCACATGTCCTTCAAGGTCCACCCATATCCTGTGCTAGTTTCCCGTGCCCTCTTGATCCCTACGCTAAATTCCTTCAACCAAGGATCCGAGTGAAGGGTTGGAGTATATAGCGGCGATACAAAAAGTGTCTGAAACACCAAAATGAACTGTTTGCAAAACTCGGATATTAATTCCGCTCGATTTTTGGAAGGCTTTATACGTTTTGCCATTTTATCGAGCTCCATTTTTGCGTTATATTTCCATTCCGAAGTGAAGTTCATAAGTTCTTCAGCTGATTTCACTATATGAATATGCAAAGTTTGAAGCAACCTTTCCTGTAATTTCGGCATCCCGACAGACTTATCAAACTCTCTTTCGTGCATCGGATTCATTCCAATCATGTCAATGTCATATCTATGCCACTCCTCTTTATCGCAAAGAATTTCAAACATCTTTCTGGTGTTTTTCTCTTCCGATCTCTTAAACGCCTCAAACCCATAATCCATCAAAGTCTCCCAGTTTTCGCTGCTGGACGATGCGAAATGAAACTGCACGCCATCTGGAAAGGTGTGGGGGAGAGCTTGTCGTTCAATTTTTGTGCGAATGTACCTGAGAATGTCCCAGGGGCTACAGCGAGCACGATCTCCGCCG